AGGGGCTCTATCTCCTCCGTTATTTGGTGAATTTATGTATGTATATTTTTAGGAAGCTTCTACTGTATTAGATTTCCATATGACCTGTCAATTGGCCTCAGTTCTAGTTGTCTCTTCCTGTATTATCTTCTCCTATCCCTTTTCTCACTCTATATCCATTTGATCCTTCTGTACCAGTCCCCAGACTTGTTCATCAATAACTATTTCTTCTATTTCCCCTTCCTAGGGAGATCCATTCCTCCCACCCAGTCCCTTAGTCTATACTTAACTTCTGTGGTTAGATAGATTGTGGCTTGCCTATCTAAGACTTAACAACTAACACCTACCTGCAGTTAAATACATACCATATTTTTCTTTCTAGGTCCATCCATTTATTTGCAAATATTATTCTTTTCTTTAAAAAAAAAAGCCAATTAATATGCCATTGTGAAAATGCACCACATTTTCTTTATCCATTTATCCATTGACAGATATCTAGGTTGTTTTCAATTTTTGGATATTATAGATGAAGCAGCAATGAACATGGTTGAGTGTCTCTGTGGGAGTATGAAACATCCTTTATGTATGTGCTCAAGAGTAGTGTAGCTAGATTTTGAGGTAGATCTATTCCCGACTTCCTGAGGTACTGCCATACTAGATTATAAAGGCTGTTTGCCCTCCCACCAGCAATGGGTGAGTGTTACCATTACCCTACATCCTTGCCAGCATGAACTTTTACTTGTTTTAATAATCTTGGGCATCCCAACTAGTGTACAAAGAAATCTCAAGGTAGTTTTGATTTGCATTTCCCTAATAACTAAATATTTTGAACATTTCTTTGAGTGTTTCTCAGTCATTGGTGCACATTTAGCTCTGTACCCCATTTTTCAATTGAATTATTTGTTTTCTTGAATATTGGGGTTTTAGTTCTTTATGTATTTGAATATTATCCCTCCTTTAGGTGTATAGTTAGTATAATGATAGTGTCCTTTGCCATAAAGATGCTTTCCAGTTTCATGAGGTCCCAGTTATTAATTGTTCATCTTACTAACTGGGCTAAATACGTTCGTTCAGAAAGTCTTTTTGTGTCAATGAGCTCAAGATTACTCTCTACTTTCTCTTCTATCAGATTGAGTGTTTCTGGCCTTACGTTGAGGTCTTTGATCCACTTGGAGTGAAGTTGATTTTTGTGCAGAGTGATGAGTATGGATCTACTTGGATTCTTCTACATGCCACTGTCCAATTTGACTATCATTGCTGTCTTTTTTTTTTCAGTGTGTATATCTGGCTTCTTCATCAAAAATTAGGTGTTCATGGGTGTGTCAATTTATGTCTGTGTCTTTGACTAGGTTCCATTGATAAATGTGTTTGTTTATGCTGATATCATATTATTTTTACTCCTATTGCTCTGTACTACAGTTTAAGACTCTCCTGAGCTTTTTGTGTTTTCATATGAAGCTGAAAATTGTTCTTTCAAATTCTGTGAAGAGTTGTGTTGGGGATTACATTGAATCTATAAACTGCTTTTTGCTAAGATTGATATTTTTACTATAATAATCCTACTGGTCTTTGGAGATCTTTCTATCTTCTGATGTCTTACTCGATTTTCTTCTTCAATCTCTTAAAATTTTTACTATACAAGCCTTTTATATTTCTTGTTAGCATTGTCATAATTTACTTTGAAAGGCTACTGTGAAAGGTACTGTTTCCCTGATTTCCTTTTCAATCTGTTTTTCTTTTGTATATAGGAAAGCTACTAGGTTTATATATGAATTTTATATCCTGCCACATTGATAAATGTGTTTATCAGTTGTAGGAGTTTGCTGGTGGAATTTTTAGGGTCACCTGTGTATATTATCATATTATCTGCAAATAAAGATGCAGTGGCTTCTTCCCTTCCTATTTGTGTTATTGCTGCAGATAAATCTTTAAGTACTGTGTCGAATAGATAGATATAGAGAGTTTACAACTGTCTTATTTCTTGTTTTAGTGGAAATGCTTTGATTTTTATCTCCATTTGGGTTGATGTTGGCTGTGAACTTTCTATAAATTGCCTCTATTAGCTTGAGGTTTATTTCTTTTATGCCTTCTATAGACTTTTCAGGACTATTATCATGAAAGGGTGTTGAATTTCACCAAAGGCCTCCCTGCATCTAATAAGATGATGTGGGTTTTGTCTTTTATATGGTGGACTGCATTTATCTATTTATGTATGTTGTACTATCCCTGTACCACTGGGACGGAGCCTACTCGATCATGGTGTATAATCTTATTAATGTGTTCTTGGATTTGGTTTGCAAGTATTTTACCGATAACTTTTGCAGCTATGTTCATCAGGGTAATTAGTCTGTAATTCTCTTTCTTTGTTGAGTCTGTATGTGGTTTACATATCAGAGTAACTATGGCTTTATAAAAAGAATTTGACATTGTTTCTTCTGTTTCTATTTTGTGAAATAATTGGAGAAATATTGGAAAGAAATCTTCTTTGAAAGTTGGTAAAATTCCATGCTATCTGGCTTTGGTGTTTTTATAGTGAGAGATTTTAATGAATGTTTCTATTTCACTAGAAGTTATAGGTCTGTTTTCATTGCTTATCTGATCTTTATTTAACTTTGATATATATATATATATATGTGTGTGTATATATATACATATATATGTATATATATACATATACATATACATATACATATACATATATATATATACATTTCTTTCAGGCTTTCTAATGTGATAAAGTGCAGGTTGTTAAAGTATGTCCCTATAATTCTCTGGATCTTCTTGGTGTCTATTGTTATGTCCCCATTTTGTTTCTAATTTTGTTACTTATGTCTGTTCATCCTCACCATTTAGTTAATTTAGATAAGAGTTTGTCGATCTTATTGGTGTTCTCAAAGAACCAACTCTTTGTTTCATTGAATTTTTAAAATAATTTTTCATTTCTATTTTATTGATTTTATCCCGTGTCTAATTTCTTGTCATCTACTCCTTTTGGATGTTATTCCTTCTTTTTATTCTAGAGCGTTCAAGTGTGTTACTAACTTACTGATATAAGATCTTCCCAAACATTTTCTGTGGGCACTTATACTATACCTTGCCTCTTAGAACCACAATCACCACTTCCCATAAGTTTGCATATGTTGTATTTTCATTTTCATTCAATTCTAAAATGCTTATAATTTCTGTCTTGATATGCTTTTTATTCAGTAGTGAGCTGTTCAGTTTCCATGAGTTTGTAAGCTTTCTGTTGTTTCTGTTGTTGTTGATACCTAACTTTAATCCATGTTCAGATAAGATGCAGAGTGTTATTTCAGGTTTTTGGGTTTTTTGTTCTTTTTTTTTTAATCTATTGAGATTTGCTTTGGGCCCTAATACGTGGTCAGTTGGAGAAAGTTCCGTGAGCTACTGAAAAGAAGCTATATTCGTTTGTGTTTTGGTGAAATGTTCAGTGAATATCTGTTAGATTCATTTTGCTTATGATGTCATTTAGCACCAGCATTTCTCTATTTAGTTTTATCTAGATGACCTGTCTATTGGTGAGAGTGAGGTATTGAAGTCTCCCACTATCAGTGCATAAAGGCCAATATGTAGGGGCCAAGGAAGGAGAGGCTACAGTTGGTGGTTGGCTACTGAGCTGGAGATATGATTGGTGGTTGGACTTGGAAAACAGAGGGAAGAGTAAAGATAGCTTGCCTAATTCCCTAAAACTCTTGTGGGTTTCCAGTGTGTTGGAAGTGAATTTGTATATATTTGTCCTTTCTGTTTTAAATCCTGGCTTGCTTTCTCAATTAAGTGGAACATGGAAAGAATAGAATGTACAGGTCCTACTCTGCTTTTGTTCTACCACAAACTCGAGATATTATCTACTCAGAGAAGAATTCAACTCTATCAGTTGCCTTTGGTCATAACCCAAATAGATGATCTCACCAGGAGATGGGTCTCCTCATGACACAGCTGCTACTCCAATGTGACAGGTCAAACCATGGGAACAAAGTCAAGAAGAAGATATTGTCTATACTGTTTCTTTCTATGTTTTAATTTATTATTTGACTGGTATGAAGTCTTATATTTTTACACCCATCTCTGAGAAACCTGACAGTCATGTTCCTTTATATTTTAGTATGGAAAAGATATAAATCTAATAAATGAATATGTAACACTCTTACAAATTATGACTTTCATACTGGAGATTCCAAAAAGAAGAAGTAAAACTATCATTTCTGATGATAAACATATCATTTGTTTTCCTAAAGTCACATAGGTGAAATACTGGGGACAGGGCATATTTCACAAAACTAAGAACAAATGAATTGATAAATGAATTGATAAATGAATTGACAAATGAATGTATAAAGTTGCTGCTTGGTAAGATTTGAGATTCTTGGGGCTTTGCTTTGTTTGTTTATTTGTTTGTTTATCCGTTTGTGTCAACACTGGCTGATCTCTAACTCTCTAATGCAGTTAAAGATGACCTTGAACTTCTGATCCCTACCTTTACCTATGCTGCTGGGATTATACTCGCTTCATGCCTAGCTTTCTATCAGGCTTAGGTAACAATTGTTCACAGTCAACATTTTTGTTGGTGGTGGTTGTGTTTTTTTTGTTGTTGTTTTTTGGGTTTTTTTTTTTTTTGCTTTTTGTGTGTTTATGTAAGACAGGGTCTCACAGTGCAACCCTGACTGGCCTGAAAATTTCTAACTAGACCAGTCTGACCATCAACCCATAGAGAACTTCCTGCCTCTGCCTCCTGAGTACTAGGACTAAAGGTGTATATAACCACAGTTGGCCTCAACAGTCACAATCTTGACAAGCATAAGGATCTAAAAACAAACATTTAAGTGTCATGGTGAAGCATAATGTAGGCCTTGAGGTTTTGTGGCCAAGACTCTGAAAACAGAGGGCAAAGCCCTGACTGCCTTTATTTTGCATCCAGAAGGTCCTCCAATCTCCGTACCTGATGGCAACTGACTTTAATCTAGAGAAAGAAAAGGCGACCCATACTTTCCCTTTGTTCCCTGCAGAGAATGGGACTCCCTCTTCAGTTTGGCGCCCAGTGGCCCTGACCCTGCTGACCTTGTGTTTGGTGCTGCTCGTCGGCCTGGCTGCCCTGGGCCTTGTGTGTAAGTCCGAGCTCTACCCTGGGGAAGGTTCCTGGTTTCTTAGTTTGTGGAGGACAAGAAACTCTTGCTATGAGTTTCTTAAAACCTTAATTCTGGAACCTCATCGTCTTTCTAAAGGCAACTGTTTAAATGACTAGGGGTTGATGTATTGAAACACAGCAAGCATTTTCCAGTTAGAAAAAAACATTCTGTTTGAGATAAGTATTGTATCTGTTTATATGTTGGTATGTAAATCAGCACTTTAGCCAGTACCAGCAGTGCAGGGAAATGCTGTGTCTACACACATCCACCTTCTACACAAGGAGCATAGAAGCGCTTGATCACTGCTTGACAAAAAGGCTGTCAAATAATAGTTATTGGCTGGGGGTGGGGGGGTAGAAAGTGTGCAAATCAAACAAGGAAGGTTGCATGTGTAATACCTTTACATTTCAAAGCTGTGAAGGTAAATTTCTTGATGGATTCTGGTAAACTGGCTTGATTAGGCTAAGAACATACAATCCCCTTTCCCGCTTAAGGTGACTCCAGGCAAAAGCCGCACTGCAAACCAGATCAGAGTCTCAAGTTGACTCTGCTAAAGTAAAAGTTAAGTCTATGAACTTCAATTTAAAAGTTAAAAAGAAATCCTATTAGCTCTCTCTACCCCCAAATTTACATAATCTTGATACAGCACTGTCTTGTAACCACCTTTTCTCTTAGGAATGTAAAGTAACTCCCATGACTTACGACACATTTCTTGAGATTTAGCAAACTGAAGTTCAAGCCTGTGTTGAAATGTTTTTAGTTGAGAGACATCAAAACAGTGACTTGTCCTTATGGAGCCTAACTGCAAGTCCACAAATATATAAAAATGAGATCGGAATATTTTAATAATGGAATAAACAATAGTATGTGTCATCTTTTTCAATACTCAATAGATGGGTAGATTTGTAGTTTACATTGATTTTAGGTGTATAAAATATTTGTTGGGCAGAAAGACAGATTGGGATTGGGTTCTTAACTTCCAAAGTTAAGAACCACTATTTTCCAACAGAGGACGACATACAGATTTGTCTGGGAAGACTCCATTAACTATGCCATTGGATGTGGCAATGTGAGCTCTCCATAAGAAGCTCTTAAACTATATGCTTTATTGTCTCTCCCATGTGTGGAAAATAGAAACAGGCATATGAGCTGTCCAGTCTGACTTGGTCACATGCCTTAGTTTTTCAGTTCTACCAGCTCTCCAACACCCAGCAAGACAGCATCATTGAAAAGGATGAGAAGCTGGGGAACATGTCGCGACAACTACAGTCTCTTCAAACCCAGAACAAAAAACTCATCCAAACTCTGCAGCAGGTAGCTGTAAAACTGTGTCGTGAACTTTACAACAAAAGTGGAGGTAAGTATGTCCCTGTCACTCTGGCCTCTAGAAATTGTTCCATCTAAACGTGAATTTCCCATATGAGTAGCTAGAATCATGTATTTTTCTTAGGAGTACTTTTCCTGCCATCTCAATACACAGTTTGAGCTGCATATTCATGACCAGACATTGGGTTATAATTCCTTATATGCATCCATGTCATGGTACAGGAAAGGATTCTTCAAATATGAGCGTTTAAAACATAGTAATCCCTTTAGAGTAACCAAAACAGCATAATCTGCAATTAAACACAGGGATATGCCTCAATTAGGTTGGCACATACTAATCCAAAACAGGGAAAGTGTTAGGGAAGTTATAACTATAATTTTCAAACTTTTGGATTCATGCAGGGATTACTTCAAAATTCAAAGAGCTTGCAATAAATGACAGTTGTTTTAGTTCACCCTGGCTTGTTTCTCAAAAATATGAATCTTACAAAGGACCAAGAGTAATGGAAATGACAATAACAGGCAAACTAAAACTACCACTGGTGATAACTGTAAATGCACTTCAGTGTCCCCTCAATCCACCACCATCTCGCTATTCCCCTTTTGAAAGTTGCATCTTAGCACACTACATTCACGTCAGCCCTCTCTCCCACACAAGCATAGGAAACAACCTTCAGTTCACAGTCCTTACTGGTTTTTCTTTTGGAAACTCAAAAGTACCACAGTTTCATCATCATCCCTCCCCACACCACTTCCCCATTAGCAGAGGAGCGAGTGATTTTCTAAGTAAACAGTGTCTCAAGGCACACTTCTCTAAGTGATTGTTTTCCACATGACTAGTGATCTCATTTACCCTAATTGTCTCTTTTCTTGTTTCTCTGACAACCCGGTGGACAATATTTTTTCTTCGTAGGATTCTAAATCATCAAAGATATAACCTAGTTTTCTCATCTAGGTAGCTCAAAACAAACAAAGAACACATGAAAAAAACTATGCAAATAAGCTCTATGCAATTAAAATATAAAGTGATATGTGAAAGTTAGGAAGTGAGAATGAATGATCTAATATGTGAGGAGTTCAATATGCAAGAAAGGGTCACAAATTAAACTAATATTCTATATGCCCATAATCTACTGGAAAAAATAATAAAAAAAATTACCACATATTTTTGGATGATGTAGTTTTCCTGCACCATAAAACTAATTGATCTGCCTTAGAGTATTGCCTTGCTGAACATTTTTGCTTCATTGACCATGTTGTAGCTATTGTCACATGAAGCTTCCTACATAGACAGAGAGTTTGTAGGAGGAGCTCCCAAGAATCAGCCGTGTTCAGCTTGGGAACTCTATGGCCAATGTTTCACTAGCTCTATATGTCAGAAGCAAAATATCTGAAATCAATATATTTTCATGACACACTTGTATCTAGCTAATTAAAAGTATCCATTTCCCCTGAAACACATCCGTATTTATACGCATGCATGTATATCATTTATTGGTGTGTTGCATCCTGGGGAAAATTTGCTTCTATCACTGGGTGGGTGGTTAAGAGATCACCCTCAAAGAAGCAGGGGGAGGGGATGGGATAGGGGTCTCTGGAGGGTAAACCGGGAAAGGGGATAACATTGAAAATGTAAATAAATAAAATACCCAATAAAAAAAGGTTAACAGAAAGCATTATCTATGGCTTGATATGTAGTCTAGAGTAATCAATGTTCAAATCTCTATCCCCTCCAGAATAAAATAGTGATCCAAACATGAATATGATTAAATGCCACACACACACACACACACACACACACACACATACACACACCACTCACACATGTGCACACACAAGACTTAGATGCAGCTTCCTGACTTTCAGATGCCAAAGTCCAGACACCCATACCATGATACTCACGATACTACTATTCATCCATGTAAAAAATACCTACATATTCCATATTACTCTCAACTTCTTGCATATACTTGTTTGGCTTGGGAGTGCCCATCATCTCCTAACACAAACCTACTTATACAGCATGGGTACAAGGGACCTACACCTGAGAACACCTGACGATCAACTTGAGAAGGGCAAAGACTCATTTAGCTTCCAGCTTCAGACATGTCAACCCATGACGGCAGTGAAGGCCACTGTGGGGCAGCATCCATGATGCCATCCTTGAAGCAGAGAAAAGGGTATACACAAAAAGTGCTGCGTACGATGCAGCTCTAAGAACATGCCCCAGTGACTGACTTCTCCCTTAGCTGCTATTTTCATTCACCTCCCACTAAAGCCATCGTATTCAGAATCAATCAAGGAATCAGTCCATCAATGATATCAAAGCCATCTGGATCCAATCATGTCCCCAAAGCTCACCAGCTCTAAATTATGTTCCCGATGCTTATGAACCCATGGGAAAAATTTCATATCCAAATCATAGCATAGTCATATGAGCCACCTCACAAAGGGATATTCTGTTCACATTCTGCATAGCGTAGGCAAGGAAGTTTCAGTCATTCAGCACCAGACCCAACACTGCATGTAAGTACTATCTGTTTTAATTTTCACTGAATGTTTCACTTCAATGATAGGCCATTCCTGGTGTGGATTAGGTAGTACAGGTGCTCACTCAAATATCTAAGAGATATAAGTTACTTCTTGGAATATCAAACACTGTTGTTTCCAAGAAAAGGAAATATCAGATCGATGCAAAGATAACTAAGCAAACTGTAGTGTTTCCTTTTTTTTCTTCCGAGGACATAGATGCAGTCCTTGCCCAGAAAAATGGAAGTGGCATGGGGACAAATGCTACCGGTTCTATAAAGAAAGTAAAAGCTGGCAGAGCTGTGACTACTTCTGCCTGGCTGACAATGCCACCATGCTGAAGATAAGCACGCAGGAAGAGCTGGTAAGTTCCTAAGCCACAGTATGTGAAGCAGTACCCCAAAACTCAGGGCCAGAATCTTGTAAGGAGTCAAGGTTCTGACCCACAGATTTTCACACTTGCTCTCAAGAAAAGCCAAGTCTTACTCCTGCTGTTACAAGTCATCCCTGAAGTGAATATAAACTGTGTTCTCCCCAAAATACTTACTACCCCTTCAGTCAATGAGCAGGTAGAAAATGCCCTAATTTACCTGTTTGGGATAGGGTGGAAAAGGAATAATATTGATGCAATCTCAGAAACGTGATGATACTACTGCCTGCCCTGCTGTTATAAATGTTAAAAAGCTTTGAATTGAAAAATAGTCAGTCAAATAATTGTAATAAACTCCAAATACACATACATACATACATACATACATACATACATACATACATACATATGAATTTTATGTGTGTGTGTATTTGTGTGTGTGTGTGTGTGTGTGTGTGTGTGTGTGTGTGTGTGTGTGTGTGTGTGTGTGTTCACCTTCCAGAAGACTGGAAAATATAAAAATAAAACTCCAAATTAGCACACGTGTCTACGGAAGTCATTGACCAGCAGCTGAAAAGGTGGTGACACAGACCTGGCACTGGGATTTTTTTTTTTTTCAGTGATGGGGCTTGAACTCAAGGCTTCATGAATGCAAGTCAGGTAACCTACCACTAAGCTACAGTCAAAGATTTTTTGAAACCTGGCTTTTTGTTTGATAGCCTGTGGTGTCTGGGAGGCACTGCCTCATTATAGGGTAAATCCATTTAAACACATATACGTATGTACATGTATATATTTTGGTAATATTAGAGAGTAGGATTGTATATAGAATTTTCCAAGGTCTTTAGTGTTACTTATCTATCCCATACTACCCCTCAACCCTGCCCTCCCATCTGTACCTCAACTCTCCCTTCCTGCTCCATTTCTTGCCTTCAAACCACCTGCATTCTATTTCCTTTGTCTTGAAATCTCCTTATGGCCTCTTACTAGTTTCTTGCCTTCTCTAAGTACCACAGTTTAAATACACATATATAAAGACTCAAAGCTAGCAGTCAAATATAAATGAAAGCATACAATGCTTTTTTACCACTGCATATTAGAAAAAGAGTTGTCATATGCTAGCATATGGTTATATGTATAGGTAAGAAACACACATATGTATATGGAAATGTACATTTTTCTCTTCTGCCTAGTTTGAGGTTCATGTCATCCTTCTAAATCCTCTTCTTTTTCCTTTATTCCGCTATTGTGTTCTTATTCATAGTTTACTTCCCTGATACTTACAGCGCTTACGTCTCTACTTTTGTATTTCTAAATTTTTTCGTTGTTTGGAGTAATTTTACTTTTTTGTAAATCCTTCTCCCACTTGTTTTTGTTTTGTTTTAATCCATTAATCAGGAGCAATGGTAATAAGCCTTTAAATGTAATTAATTAAAATTAAATTACTTTTGGGATACAGGGATTAAACACAAAGCTCAACACAAGTAAGGCAAGCTCTCTAGTAACTGAGCCATATCTCAGGTTACCCATTATTTTTAATCTCTGTCTCACTATCTCTCTGTCTCTGATTCTCTCTCCCTTATCTGTATTTTGAGACAATGTCTTGCTGTGTACTCCTGGCTATCTTGGAATGGGCTATGTAGAACAGGCTACCTGAAAACTCTGCACTTGAGATCCATCTCCATCTGCTTCTTGAATTCTGAAATTAATGGCAGACACAGCGCATTAAGTTCCTCTCATATTTTATATCAGTTTTGAATTTGATCTTATGGCATAATAATAATGGGTCAGGTATAAATTTTGGTTGATAAAAATGCTTGTTTTATAATCCCATAGTTACTAAGACAAAGTATGTTATATCTATGTGTCCCACACTTACTGGATAAATTTATAAAGGATTTCGACTTCATGGCAGGTATCTTTCCCTCTTGAGCCTGCTGCCCCCCGTGTGTGTGTGTGTGTGTGTGTGTGTGTGTGTCTGTCTGTCTGTCTGTCTGTCTGTCCGTCTGTGTGTCTGTGTGTCTATGTGTCTGTGTGTATGTTTGTGTCACCTATGAGGTTTCCATGTTATTCTCCTAGAAGTTCTGCTGATCCCACATGTCCCTGTGCTCCTGATTGAAGCATGTCAAAGCTAAAGTTTTTCTTGTGTGCCTTTCACAGGATTTTGCCATGCCCCAGAGCTACTCTGAGTTTTTCTACTCTTATTGGACAGGGCTCTCCCGTAATGGCAGTGGCAAAGCCTGGCTGTGGACAGATGGGACATCTTACTCCTTTGAGCTGTAAGCCTTTAGAACATTCTGTGGGAGAGGTATTTGATGAAGACAGATTAGCAGTGCAGTTTGGCAATAATTATTGAGCATCTGTTTTGTTGCTGGAGCATGTGCTTGCAGGGGTATGTCCAGAGGTGCTTGTATTGAAATGGATTAGAAAAAGTGGTGGGAGAGAGAAGCACAGGAAGCAGGTGGCTTCTTCATTGATTTCAGCAGTGTGTATCTATGAATCATTTTTCTGGAAGACAAAGGAATAAGGAGAGAGAGAGAAAAAAGGAGAGAATATCTCTTTTGAACTAATAATTAAATAGAAACCTAAGAGACTCAGATGTAATAGACATCATCCAAGGTCATCCAATCTGTCAATATCCAGGGGTAGGCTATGGCCTCAGAGAGGTCTTGGTTCTCCAAACTGTATAATGTACATTTAAAATTATTTACTACAGAAACTTTCAGATCAATTGTGCATGAAATTCTATGACAGGAACAAATGTAATTTCTTTATGGAAGTTTATTACATTTAAAGGTCTGTTCAGGCAGATTCCATTTTCTGTCTACCAAAGAACAGGACACAGTAATGTAACTATCTGTACATTTAATTAAGTAAACTGATCTCTAGAAAAGGTAGATAACTTTACAACGGCAGTAAAATCAGAGTTCTTGTTTGCTTTAAGAACAATTTCTATTGTTTTAAATGGTCTCTTCTAAGAATGAGATGGAGACTGATGTGCTGAAAATACAATTCATTGGCCCTCATCTCCTCAGCAAAGACACACCGAGGACATAGATTATGATACTTTTTGTTGTTGTCTCCTAATATGTCATTTTAGAAATAAACTGTAATTAAATTATTTTCTTTCTCTTTCTTAAGGTTTGAGATTATAATAGATCCCACCAACCTAAGAAACAGGGACTGTATGACCATCTTCAATGGAAAGGCTTACTCTAAGGACTGCAAAGAGCTGAGGAGGTGTGCCTGTGAGAGGGTGGCAGGGAGAGTGGTACCCGAGGAGCTCCAGTGACATGAAGCATTGGATGGAGGGGCCGACAGGTCAGCTTCAAACACCAGCAAAAGGACTGTCCAGTGAGGCCAACGTGAAGGACATCCAAAGCTTTGGGAAACAGAGGAGCAGCTGCTGAGGCTGGTATGTGAGAGGTTTTCCTGGTTCCAGCTCAGCATCATCCAGGCCTGGGCTTTAGTTCTTGCACACATTTTCCAGACACAAAGAGTCTTGCTCATGAACCACCAACTAGCCCCAGGAACCTATAGAGTTGTCGCCCTTGACTTACAGAAGACTTTCAGCATTCTCCCTTCTCAAGGTCTCTTATCAGCCTCTGTCTCATGTCTCTTGGAAAAGTGAGAAAGATAAGAAAATAGAAGAGTTGTTACAAAGCCACAAACTGGGTGTGCTTGTGTTTTCAAAAGTATTGGTGCCTTTAGAGTCACTGCACTTGAAAGGAGGAGGAAGACATGAGAAGTTCAAGGCCAGCCTCAGCTACATAGTTGGAGGCCATCCTAGGCTGCAGGAGCATGTCTTCTCAAGTGACAGAAAGAAGGAACAAAAAAAAAGAGAGAAAGAAAGATTGGAAGAATGAAAGAAGAAATGTGAAAAAGCAAAGTGATAAGACAGAACAGAAGAAAAAAACATGACATCCTTTATCCTAGCAGGTGTCTAAGAGAAACTAGCAGAAGTCTCCACCCCTCTGCTGCTCTACACAGAGCCAATTCTTTTTGTGTCCAGTTCACACCTGGCCTTTCCTAGGCTCTCAAAAGTGACTTCACCTGCTGTGTCTGTGGCCAGCTTTCCAGCTGATATGGTTCTCACTATGTCAACCACCACTCCATCAATTGTGTCTTTCCCCTAATTATGTCTCCTAGGAAAGACACCGTCTCTATTCTGATCTAAGTTGGAATTTACGTTCCTGTACTCCCAAAGAGACTGAAGCCTAGAAAAAAACAATGACAAAAAAACCCCAAATGAACAAAAAACAAGTAACAACAAAACCAAAAACAATCTCTATATGCACAAATAATAGATTTCTTCTTCTATCATGTTTGAACAATGTTTCTGCCTTTCAGGTACTGAATGTTTAATAATAATAAGTGTAAATAATGTGAAATGGGTGAGGTTATAGAATGGATTTGTGATTTGGGGAAGGGGATCAACAAGTGAATCCTTTTCACAATATGGAAACAATCACTCCTTGACTACTTGTGCATTAACAACTGGTGGAGCCACTATAAAGACATTGTTTATGAGATTACTTGAGTATAAGGAAGTCTTCAAAGCGTATTGTCTTCAAGGGGATGGCTGTATAATATTCCTAAAGTGAAATGTCTGAGGCAAAATCATGACATCTAGGTTGGTTTGTTGACTAACTGAGGTGTGGGAGAGGCATGATTTCCAAACAGACGTGGGAGGAAAAAGAGAAGCTGTGACATCTGTACAACCAGACTCTTGACTAGACATGAATTTCTCTGGGTGGTGACAATCAAAGCCACAACAGGGTCTTTGTGAATAGTGCCATGCCAACTGATTTCATTGGTGGTAGCAGCAATAGCTTTCACACTCTAAATTTTCAATAGTCAAAATTGGGAAACATCTATTTCATGGTGAAATTACAATTAAAGTAGCACTTTGTTATGAAAAATAATTCTGTATTTAATTTCATAAGATTTAATCTTATGACTGTCATTTATCTAACCATTACTGTGAGGCTACTTGAGTTTTCTTTTAGATTTCTTTCATGTTAGCTAGGGGAGTTCCTCAATATTGAATTCTAAGCAGGTTTACTGGGTCAAGCAAACAGAAGTGTGTATTTGTGGTTTTAGAACTTGAGGGATTTAGGTCTTTCTTGTTTTGGTTTGTTTATTGAGCCAATCACACCATGCCATGTAGCTTATGAAAAAGTGGGGATACTTATAATTTACCTATGATGTTCCTTACAATGAAGTGTGAAGTTAGTCTCATAATGTAGCTCGTAATATAAAAATGTGTTGGAAATTAAGAAAATCTTCTAAAGGGTTTAGTGATTCTTTAAATGTAGTGGAACACAAATGCAGCATTTGTATTCATTAAAGAGGAAAAGTATTCTCAAATGTTTTCTACAATTAACAAAATGATAATAGTTGCTCTTGTTTGGTTAAATTGCCTAATGCAATATTTCAAAATAAGAAATAAAGATCAAGTTCATCATTACGCAAGTATTATATAAACCTACTGCAGAGGGAAACAGTAGTCAGCAAGAGAAAGCCAATAACGATTGTTCTTACTTCAATCGAGGGCCATGGCTCTCATTTAAGTTTTGACTTCTGGCATTCTGGGCTCCAGGAGGGTGACATGTGTCTCTGTAACTACCATTGATGGGAAGAATCTAGCTATCTAGAGAGTGAAGAGCATTCTCATTTGCAATCTGAGACCTCAGCAAAGTGCCATTTCAGGTGGGAAAGGAGAAAATAGTATTTGCTGATATATTTTCTTTCCTTGAGATTATTCTTTAGCATCGTCTATAATCCACCTTTCTGTATCCAAACTTCATAATATTGATAGCAACATAGGGAAACATTTCAAAAGATGAGAAAAGGGGGTATGCCTCCAGAAACACTTAAAAACATAAAAAGTGATCAGAAAATGAATTTGAGAAAAGGCTTTCTGGTGATAAAAGATGGAAACGACATGAGCTGGCTTTCCTGGGACGAGAAGGATTCAAAGACATTTTTTATATTCTCTGCTGGGTAGGTAATTGTGAAGAAACTGCAGGAAGAGTCAAACAGAGAACATGGCCTTTCCCATAGAATGAGCTCCCTCGGGTACACAATGAGCTATTTCTTTTCCTGAGGATATTGAGCACTCTCAGGACTTATCAGCAGGAAACAGGTCAGGAGCCTGGTGACAGCAGGAAGTTTGAGAAGGGTAATGGGCAGCTTTTACGTGGGGAATATAAACAGATTACAAACATGGTACAATTGTTGAGTGGTTGTCCTGGGGCCAGCCTTAGTATTGGGAGTCAAGTACAGTTTCTGAAAGATTCAAAATAAAATATAATAAAATAAAAATGCCATGTGATGTAAGATATACAAAATCCACATTATGAATAGATCTTTAGAGTCTAACACCAAGTTTATTATTCTATCAATATTATTATATCAGTATTTTATTGGAGCATTTAGTGTGTAGTACTATTTATCAGTTTTCAATCACAAAGGAATTATTTTTCTCTTTTTAAAAAGTTCACTCATTGAGATAGATTAAAAGTACCTAATTCATCATTGGTAGGATTAAGGCATTAAACTGGTCCTCTTGTGGCTAATTACCAGAACAGGTATCCTGGATCATTGGCAACCTCCAATGAGAATTCTCCCAACTGCTCCATCTGTGTAAGTGTAGCATGGCTGCTTGAGATACTGTAGGCAATTGTGCTAGCTGCACAAATCTCTGGTTTGTAAATACAGCACCATATATATACAGGGTGGATAACATCATCCACAGGATGTTTGCATTCAGTTTCCTTGTACTTTTCTGTGAAGAATCATCTGTGCTTCCCATCCTTTCTCTAAACATAGCCAGATGACGAGCCTTTGAAGAAGCTCAGAGACAAATAGCCTTCACTGTTAAAAATCACCATTGTTCCTCTGTTTTCCAGATTAGTATATTTAGCTACCAGCTGCCAGCTGTGAATACCAAGCAGTCTACAGCTCTTACAGTCTGTGGGCTCCTTACTGTCCCAGGATCAGCAGAAAACTAGAGAAATCTCTTTTTTAGAGAGAGAATGAGAGAGAGAGAGAGAGAGAGAGAGAGAGAGAGAGAGAGAGAGACAGAGACAGAGACAGAGACAGAGA